AAATCTACTTATATTTACTTTAAACGAAATCTGCTAACTTTCGATTGTTGGAAATTAGCTCAAAATCTACAATTTCGAAATATTATGTATTATAAAAAGAATTACAAAACCAAACTTGCTCAAATATGTATATTTCAATTCATGCGTGTGTCTCGGTGGGCTAGGGGTATATTTCTAGCTTCGGGTGTGAGAGGTCCCGGGTTCAAATCCCGGCCGAGCCTGCTGTTTGTTTTGTCAGTGTGGGACTAAGATGATGGAAAAACTATGACCACTTTTATATTTAAACGAAATCTGCTAAGTTAGATTTTTGGAAATTAGCACAAATCTACACTTTCGAAATCTTTTGTTTTGTAAAAAGAATTACAAAACCATACTTGGTCAAATACATATATTCCAACTCATGTGTGTGGCTCGGTGGTCAAGGGGTATGATTCTCGCTTCGGGTGCGAGAAGTAACCGGTTTCAAATAACGACCGAGCCCACTGCTTGTTTTCTCCGTGTGGAACTGAGATGATGGAAAAACTATGACGACGCTTATATTTAAACGAAATCTGCTAATTTATATTGTTGGAAATTAGCTCAAAATCTGCACTTTCGGAATCTTTTGTTTTATAAAAAGAATTGCAAAACCAAACTTGCTCAAATATATATATTACAACTCAGGCGTGTGGCTCGGTGGTCTAGGGGTATGATTCTTGCTTCGGGTAAGAGGTCGGTTCCCGGCCGTGCCCTCTGTTTGTTTTGTCAGTGTGGAACTGAGATGATGGAAAAACTATGACGACTCTTTTATTTAAACGAAATCTGCTAATTTAGATTGTTGGAAATTAGCTAAAAATCTACACTTTCGAAATCGTTTTATAAAAAGAATTACAAAAGCAAACTTGCTCAAATATATATATTAAAATTCAGGCGTGTGGCTCGGTGGGTTTAGGGGTATGATTCTTGCTTCGGGTGCAAGAGGTCAAGTGTTCAAATCACGGCCGAGCCCACTGTTTGTTTTGTCAGTGTGGAACTAAGATGATGAAAAACTATGGCGAGGCTTATATTTTCTTAAAACGAAATCTGCTAAGTTAGAATCTTGAAAATTAGCTCAAAATCTACACTTTCGAAATATTTTGTTTTATAAAAAGAATTACAACACAAAACTTGTTGAAATATATATATTACAAGTCATGCGTGTGGCTCGGTGGTCTAGGGGTATGATTCTCGCTTCGGGTGTGAGAGGTCCCGGGTTCAAATCCCGGCCGTGCCCGCTGTTGGTTTTGTCGGTGTGGAACTGAGATGATGGAAAAACTATGACGACTCTTATATTTAAACGAAATCTTCTAATTTAGATTGTGGGAAATTAGCTCGAAATCTACACTTTCGAAATCGTTTCATAAAAAGAATTACAAAAGCAAACTTTCTCAAATATATATACTACAACTCAGGCGTGTGGCTCGGGGGTTTAGGGGTATGATTCTTGCTTCGGGTGCAAGAGGTCCCGTGTTCAAATCCCGGAAGAGCCCTCTGTTTGTTTTGTCAGTGTGAAACTGAGATGATAGAAAAACTATGACGACTCTTATATTTAAACGAAATCTGCTAATTTAGTTTCTCGGAAATTAGCTCAAAATCTACACTTTCGAAATCGTTTGATAAAAACAATTACAAAAGCAAACTTGCTCAAATATATATATTACAACTCAGGCGTGTGGCTCGGTGGTCTAGGGGTATAATTCTCGCTTCGGGTGCGAGAGGTCCCGGGTTCAAATCCCGGCCGAGCCCACTGTTTGTTTTGTCATTGTGGAACTACGATGATGAAAAACCTTGGCGAGGCTTTTGTTTTCCTAAATCGAAATCTGCTAAGTTAGAATCTTGAAAATTAGCTCAAAATCTACACTTTCGAAATATTTTGTTTTATAAAAAGAATTACAACACAAAACTTGTTGAAATATATATATTGCAAGTTATGCGTGTGGCTCGTTGGTCTAGGGGTATGATTCTCGCTTCGGGTGTGAGAGGTCCCGGGTTCAAATCCCGGCCGAGCCCACTGTTTGTTATTGTCATTGTGGAACTACAATGATGAAAAACCTTGGCGAGGCTTTTATTTTCTTAAATCGAAATCTGCTAAGTTAGAATCTCGAAAATTAGCTCAAAATATACACTTTCGAAATCTTTTGTTTTATAAAAAGAATTACAAAACCAAACTTGCTCAAGTATATATATTACAACTCAGACGTGTGGCTCGGTGGTCTAGGGGTAAGATTCTCGTTTCGGGTGCGAGAGGTCCTGGGTTCCAATCCCGGACGGGCCCACTGTTTGTTTTGTCAGTGTGGAACTGAGATGATGGCAAAATTATGACGACTCTTATATTTAAATGAAATCAGCTAATTTAGATTGTTGTGAAATTAGTTCAAAATCTACACTTTCGAAGTCGCTTGCTGTATAAAAAGAATTACAAAACCAAACCTACACAAATATATATATTTCAACTCAGGCTTGTGGCTCGTTGGTCAAGTGGTATGATTCGCGCTTCGGGTGCGAGAGGTCCCGGGTTCAAATCCCTGCCGCGCCCGCTGTTTGTTTTGCCAGAGTGGAACTGAGCTGATGAAAAACTATGACGACTGTTATATTTAAACGAAATCTGCTAATTTAGATTGTTGGAAATTAGCTCAAAATCTACACTTCCGAAATCGTTTGATAAAAAGAATTAAAAACCAAACTTGCTCAAAATATATATTACAACTCAGGCGTGTGGCTGGGTGGTCTAGGGGTATCATTCTCGCTTTGGGCACGAGAGGTCCCGGGTTTAAATCCCTTCCGAGCCCGCTGTTTGTTTTGCCAGAGTGGAACTGAGATGATGGAAAAACTATGAAGACTGTTATAATTAAACGAAATCTGCTAATTTAGATTGTTGTGAATTAGTTCAAAATCTACACTTTCGAAATCGTTTGCTGTATAAAAAGAATTACAAAACCAAACCTGCACAAATATATATATTACAACTCAGGCTTGTGGTCTTGGGGGTATGATTCTCTCATCGGGTGTGAAAGATCCCGGGTTCAAATCCCGGCCGAGCCCGCTGTTTGTTTTGTCATTGTGGAACTAAGATGATGGAAAAACTACGATGACCCTTATATTTAAACGAAATCTGTTAATTTAGATTGTTGGAAATTAGCTCAAAATATCCACTTTCGAAATCGTTTATAAAAAGAATTACAAAACCAAACTTACACAAATATTTATATTACAACTCAGGCGTGTGGCTCGGTTGTCTAGGGGTATAATTCTCAAATATAAAAAGGATTACAAAACCAAACCTACACAAATATATATATTACAACTCAGGCTTGTGGTCTTGGGGTATGATTCTCTCTTCGGGTATGAAAGATCCCGGGCTCAAATCCCTGCCGAGCCCGCTGCTTGTTTTGCCAGTGTGGAACTGAGCTGATAAAAAAACTATGACGACTGTTATATTTAAACGAAATCTGCTAATTTAGATTGTTGGAAATTAGCTCAAAATCTACACTTTCGAAATCGTTTTATAAAAAGAATTACAAAAGCAAACGTGCTCAAATATATATACTACCACTCAGGCGTGTGGCTCGGGGGTTTAGGGGTATGATTCTTGCTTCGGGTGCAAGAGGTCAAGTGTTCAAATCCCGGCCGAGCCCACTGTTTGTTTTGTGAGTGTGGAACTAAGATGATGAAAAACTATGGCGAGGCTTATATTTTCTTAAAACGAAATCTGCTAAGTTAGAATCTTGAAAATTAGCTCAAAATCTACACTTTCGAAATATTTTGTTTTGTAAAAAGAATTACAACACAAAACTTGTTGAAATATATATATTACAAGTCATGCGTGTGGCTCGTTGGTCTAGGGGTATGATTCTCGCTTCGGGTGTGAGAGGTCCCGGGTTCAAATCCCGGCCGAGCCCACTGTTTGTTTTGTCATTGTGGAACTAGATGATGAAAAACTTTGGCGAGGCTTATATTTTCTTAAAACGAAATCTGCTAAGTTAGAATCTTGAAAATTAGCTCAAAATATAAACTTTCGAAATCTTTTGTTTTATAAAAAGAATTACAAAACCAAACTTGCTCAAATATATATATTACAACTCAGACGTGTGGCTCGGGGTTTAGGGGTATGATTCTCGTTTCGGGTGCAAGAGGTCCCGGGTTCCAATCCCGGAAGAGCCCACTGTTTGCTTTGTCAGTGTGGAACTGAGATGATGGAAAAACTATGACGACTCTTATATTTAAACGAAATCAGCTAATTTAGATTGTTGTGAATTAGTTCAAAATCTACACTTTCGAAGTCGTTTGTATAAAAAGAATTACAAAACCAAACCTACACAAATATATATATTACAACTCAGGCTTGTGGCTCGTTGGTCAAGGGGTATGATTCTCGCTTCGGGTGCGAGAGGTCCCGGGTTCAAATCCCTGCCGAGCCCGCTGTTTGTTTTGCCAGTGTGGAACTGAGCTGATGAAAAACTATGACGACTGTTATATTTAAACGAAATCTGCTAATTTAGATTGTTGGAAATTAGCTCAAAATCTACGCTTTCGAAATCGTTTGATAAAAAGAATTACAAAACCAAACTTGCTCAAATATATATATTACAACTCAGGCGTGTGGCTCGGTGGTCTAGGGGTATGATTCTTTCTTCGGGTGCGAGAGGTCCCGGGTTGAGATCCCGGCCGTGCCCGCTGTTTGTTTTGCCAGTGTGGAACTGAGATGATGGAAAAACTATGACGAATGTTGTTTTTAAACGAAATCTTCTAATTTGGATTGTTATTGTCATTGTGGAACTACAATGATGAAAAACCTTGGCGAGGCTTTTATTTTCTTAAATCGAAATCTGCTAAGTTAGAATCTCGAAAATTAGCTCAAAATATACACTTTCGAAATCTTTTGTTTTATAAAAAGAATTACAAAACCAAACTTGCTCAAGTATATATATTACAACTCAGACGTGTGGCTCGGTGGTCTAGGGGTAAGATTCTCGTTTCGGGTGCGAGAGGTCCTGGGTTCCAATCCCGGACGGGCCCACTGTTTGTTTTGTCAGTGTGGAACTGAGATGATGGCAAAATTATGACGACTCTTATATTTAAATGAAATCAGCTAATTTAGATTGTTGTGAATTAGTTCAAAATCTACACTTTCGAAGTCGCTTGCTGTATAAAAAGAATTACAAAACCAAACCTACACAAATATATATATTTCAACTCAGGCTTGTGGCTCGTTGGTCAAGTGGTATGATTCGCGCTTCGGGTGCGAGAGGTCCCGGGTTCAAATCCCTGCCGAGCCCGCTGTTTGTTTTGCCAGTGTGGAACTGAGCTGATGAAAAAACTATGACGACTGTTATATTTAAACGAAATCTGCTAATTTAGATTGTTGGAAATTAGCTCAAAATCTACACTTCCGAAATCGTTTGATAAAAAGAATTACAAAACCAAACTTGCTCAAATATATATATTACAACTCAGGCGTGTGGCTGGGTGGTCTAGGGGTATCATTCTCGCTTTGGGCACGAGAGGTCCCGGGTTTAAATCCCTTCCGAGCCCGCTGTTTGTTTTGCCAGAGTGGAACTGAGATGATGGAAAAACTATGAAGACTGTTATAATTAAACGAAATCTGCTAATTTAGATTGTTGTGAATTAGTTCAAAATCGACACTTTCGAAATCGTTTGCTGTATAAAAAGAATTACAAAACCAAACCTGCACAAATATATATATTACAACTCAGGCTTGTGGTCTTGGGGGTATGATTCTCTCATCGGGTGTGAAAGATCCCGGGTTCAAATCCCGGCCGAGCCCGCTGTTTGTTTTGTCATTGTGGAACTAAGATGATGGAAAAACTACGATGACTCTTATATTTAAACGAAATCTGTTAATTTAGATTGTTGGAAATTAGCTCAAAATATCCACTTTCGAAATCGTTTTATAAAAAGAATTACAAAACCAAACTTACACAAATATTTATATTACAACTCAGGCGTGTG